TATGCGGAAATAGTACGAAAGGATAGTTTGAGAGGAGGAATCCCTTTTATCGTTGAATGGATAGGTATTCTGTACAGCTCAATCACGATTAAATTCTCTGAATCTTTAACTTTATTGTGCGCAACGTTGAAATAGATCGACCGCCTTTATCACGATATACCTTCTTTCTTTACTCTCCGCCAAATAGGCATTAAATTCTAGTTAGTCGGATTACATGACTCGGTTTACTGATGCTTTATTAATGAGCCGCGTGAACCGCGTGTCGGCAATGCTAACAGATCGAGATCTCGCTAATGAATGCTAAATCGCATGCTATCGGCGTTTGCCACGAATGACAATATTGAAAAGTATAAAAATTGTTTGGTTAATCATTCATCAACTAATGAGTCTGTTAGAAAAAGATGAAAGATAAACGAATAATTTCTTGAACATAATCGAGACTGGCTCGTATATTTATGCGAATTGCCTTGCAAAGTATCGAGGACATCTGCATATTTTTGACGAGACTTTGATATTAGGAATTCCGCGCGATAGCATATTAATTGCGCTCCTGACGTGGGTCTGATGCTAATAAAAGTACTTCATTTACACAAATAGTACTTGCAATTAATTTTAAACATACCCACCATTGCTATATGCATTCTATATATAGATCGCTGCCTTCGCTTCAACTTGCATGTCAATTTTAACGCGCCTGGCGCGTAAATAAAGATACGAAATAATATAAAAAAATCGACCTTACGTGCACCGCTGCTGAATATTCTCGGCATCGACGAATTCACATCTGATATATATTATCTAAATATGAATACTGTGCGCGAGAAGAAAGAGAGAGTACATCGAATGATATCGATGATATTAATGGCGTCCAATACCGAGCAAGCAAAACGATTCCGCGATATCGACGGGCCGATCTTTTCGTCGTTCGAATGCGTCAAAAAAGTCTCGATTCTTTTATCGGTTATTCGCTCGATTAACCATAGCGGGTGAAATTGACAATCAGCGCGCGCGTGTTTCCTTTTTCTCTCTCTCTCTCTCCTTCTCTCTTCTTTCTCTCTCTCTCTCTCTCTCTCTCTCTCTCTCTCTCTCTTTTTTCTTTCTGCCGTCTGCCGTCATCGTCGTTTCACTTGAATTTCACGTAAGCCGAAGTTGACGCACGGCTCGAGTCAGTCAAATATTGGGGTGATCGACAAATTAACATAATTCGACAATTCTCTGTGACGGCAAAGAAAAGAAAATGGCGCAACTTTCGTGATGTGTGCCGCGTCTCAAATTCCTATCACGCATATATCAATGTATTCACGAATGATTAATTTAAGAATTCGACTCGGTCGAACGATCGCAAAGTTTTATCGATGACGAGGCGGACCGTCCTTGTCGTATAATTAAGAGAGGTACGTGTTCTTTTTTATCTGATAATGATATCCGATACAGTTGGTATCGTCTATCAATATTATATTTTATCTGTTACCATGATTTTTATGCGTTTTGTTACGTCATATCTTATATAACGCTAATATTATTATCCCTATAATCATTTATTTGTATATGATTATTAGACCATTGCGATAATTTCGCTTCTAAAATGTTGTTTCTGCGTACATGAATATATATTTCTAACCGCACGCTCTCTCTCTCTTTCTCTTTTTAAAAGAGAGGTATAATGAAAAATTCCGAAAACGAGACTGCTAATTTCAAATGCCAATTGCTTTCCACGAGGGGGAAACACGCAATCGCGAGAACATCCAAATGAGTAATGTCATCGGTAGGGAATGCCAGATTTAAGGGGGTTCGTGTATGCGTCTCTCTTTGCGCACATGCAAATAATTCCTGTTATCGCGTTGCGAAAACAAAAGGAGAAACAGACACGACGTGCAGATTTTTAAGATACTAATGCGTCAACGAGATAATTGCGGTATCCCGCGCGACCACAAGGAAAAAATAATTTTTAAAAAATTACTAATAAAAAAAGATGATTATTATACGGGACGGAAAGGTGATTATTATTACGGGATTGAAATCTTGTCGAAGAGTAAATGCATCGCTACGAGAATAGGATCACTCACGTCGATGAAGTGCATCAAGTGCCACTTGGCGTTCTCAAGCGTGCTCGTCTACAAAGCGAAACGATAAATTGCATTTCGTGAAGCTGCGATGTGCAGCGATTCCGTAATCAGGTAATCGGCATCGACATCGTAACTACGCGCAGAAAGGTGAAGGTAATGAATTTAGCTTTTTATTTCTTCCAATATTTCCCCTCCCCCTCCCTCTCTCTCTCTCTCTCTCTCTCTCTCTCTCTCTCTCTCTCTCTCTGTCTCTCTCGCTCTTGCTCTCTCCATGCGCGCGGAAAATTCGCAATTACGTAACATCACCCATCACAAGGGAGAAGGAGGAATCCCATTGCCTGATCCCGTCGCACTTCGATGCAGCTATCACGATCGCCGATACCTTTTGCTCTATATCGCGATAGCGTGCCATAAATCGCGGCTATATCGGCCCTGACGCAGATTGCATTTTGATACAATACGAGTTACGGAGGGGGCAAATGGGGGGGAGGACTCATGTAATCATTGTTGTCCAAGATGACCGATCTCCGCCGTGATTTCGTGTGTTACGTACGAGCATTTCTCTCGACGAGAAATCGTAGTCTAGAACGTTGATGACCGAGGGGCACAAGTATATAATGTATATACCTTTTAACGTATTTTCGTATACTCCTTCTTGATTGTGAATTCGTAACGTTACCGTCGTTCGTTTCTAAGTAATTAAGTAAAAAAATAACAAGAGAGAGAGAGAGAGAGAGAGGAAGGTGGAAGAAAAAAATAGAATTTTTTCATAAATAAAGGATAAATTATTTAACTATTGATTAATGGGCAGATCAGCACTTTACGAGTAAATATTTATAAATAATATTATATAATTTATAAATATATTAGTATATTATAATATAATTTATTAATTATAATATATATAATAAATTTATCTAATAAAGAGAGAAACGTGATATAACACGATTGGCAGTAGCGTGTGATTCGTTCAAGTTGAAACAGGAATATAGAAGGCAGAAGCCTGCTGAATTATTGTCGCAGACTCGATTTCAATTACGGAAATTCTGAAAAGAAGCCACTGTGAATCGCGATGATGAAGTACACTTCGTAGCACGAGTTTACGTAACAAACTACGATAAGCGTGTCCTTTAGCGGAAAAGCAGCCGAGCTGATCGGATTATGAGGCGGAAACGTTGAAGTAGATATACAACAGTGTGATGAGATTGTATACCAGCTAAATTCGTCATCTCCAAACTTGTCTGTCACTTCCAAAATAAACAGTTGAAATTGGTCGTGCCGTCCTTGGACCTATCAGAGACTCGTGGCTGGTGCGAGAGCTGTCTCGCGGTCGAGAAATAACTGAATTCTTTATCGCTCTTTCTCGCTCCTACAGTGATAGGTTTCTAATTATGTCGCTGTGCATTTATCAATGCAAAAACCCATTTGTCGATCGCGAACACGATAATCCGATCGAGAGATATAAAGTTAGACGACAGGATTTACTCCCGAGTAGTTACAATCGTATTACCGTTTGCAGATTACTATAGTAACCAGTAATCCAGATATAATGATACGATACACAGATGGAAACTCACCAACACGCCTACGCGCGGTAACGTAACAAGCTCGGAAATGGCCTAAGCCGAGAATAGAGAGAGACCTCAGGACGGAGTTACGGGACTTTTCTTTAGTGTTAATCGCAGAATAAGGTTTAATTGTACCATTATAACATTATATCATTTTGTCACCAAGTGGATATTTCACTTACGATTAAAAATATCTCACGAATATTTTTCATTCTCAAATTTTGATTATCGAATATAGACGAGATCTGCAATATTTTTTTCTAAATTTACAATCGATATTTCTAGCATTAGAAAGTAAACTATTCTTCTTTATTTTAAATGTAGGATATTTCGTAGAGAAAGAAATTTTAAGAGATCTTACAACTATGGTATGGAACTTTATTGCAAATTAACGATTAAAAGCATTAATATCAACGGATCATCACACTCACCGTTTTTGAAGACAGGCAAGCGTCATTGAGGTAAAGATGATGCGTTTCCCAGCGCCTTAGAAATTTGCTAGACAGAATTTTCTTCACGAGGGTCCGGGTGTGATTTAGGTAGCACACCTGTATATCGCCCTCCTCGAGGGGTTTGAAACGGGGACCGGCCGGACCTGGGCTCGGACTCGGGCTCGACGAGCCGCTGGCCGACGAGCAACCCGCGCTCTGTCGTTCGAGATTTGGACAGGATCTCGCAGCTGGCAGACATCCGGACGCGTCCAGACCCTCGGGCTTCAGCGAATCTATCCCCGGGCTGCTGTCCTCGCCGTAGGAACTGCAGGTATCGGCGGGTGGTGATTCCACGCTGGAACGTAGACTCGCGCCGGACGACAGCTGCGGCGAGCTAGTGCTAGTGGTCTCCTGCCGCATCGCGCCACCGTTCACCGAGAGAAAATCGTAATAGGTTGCCGTGGAAGAAGTCAAACCGACGGTAGACGCGGCCGCGGGGCTAGACGGCAAAGACGAGCCCTCCTCCGTCTCGGTCTCCGGGCAAGCCTCTTCCGTTTCGTTTTCCGGACAGAATTCCTCGTCTTCCTCGTCGTTTTCTTCCTCACTGAAACCATTCTCCAGAGACGGTATATCGCCAACGGAGACGGTGGCTACCTGGGGACTTCCGATCACGTCGATCTGCACCGACGGCGATGAGGCGGTCGTCGCAGCCGTGACGTTGCCGCCTTGCTGCCCCTCGTCCGTATGAGTATTCCTCGACGAGGACGAAGACTCCGCTAACGGGGATTCGCTGGCGGGCGAGGGAGACGTTGAAGAGGAGCGCGTTTCGCCGTTGTTCAAATTTGAGGAATCATTGGAGCGAAGGCGTAGCATGAGTTTGCGACGCCAACTGCTGCCGTTGTTGTTTGATTTCTTTGACGTCGGCGACGGCAAGGAACGCGTCTGATTTTTCTCATCTCGCGACAGAATCTGTCGCTCGTTGGTACCGTTGATGCCGTTCAGAATGACCGTTATACCGCTCGGCGAGGTCAGAGCGTCCGGTCCGGGCGACAAGGGTTCGGGATCGAGATAATCGGCACGAATACCCGGTAGAGTATCCGTGCTGCTGCCACCGGATATCGAGGCTTCTTGGTCAATGAACTTGATGGAGGAGTTGGAGCCTTCGCTGGTTGCCTCGGAGCCGCGTCGGTTGTGCTCGGTCATATTGGACGTTGTACCACGTCCGATGGTGGGCGATAGGATCGCGTTGGTCAGCGAGGATTTGCTTTTGCTCGTCGATAGCGGCACGACGCCGCGCGACGATCGCGTGAATGGACTTTGGAAGCAAAACATTGCGCGATTTGTAGATAGAGACTCGCGTACTCTCTTCAAGATTTTCCAATGTTCTAGGTTTCAAGTTGGAGAACGACAAAGATACGCGCTCGGACGAGAGATCTATGTAACAGCGAGCTATGTGCGTCTGTGTTGTAGTTTGTGTCTTCTTGTTCTGGTCGCGATCGACATCAGACACGCGCACGAACGGTGAACGTGTCGCGAGCGGATAGAGGAGAGGTTTACGCGCTATCTGTTTTTCTGCCTGAACCTTCCCGCTTCTCTCCGACACCCTCGTAGACCGATATAATCCTCGTCGCGCGTCCGCAACGTCGGGAGCTCCTTGTGCCTTCGCGACGCGCCGTATCTTCCCCGATACCTATCAATCGAACTAATTCCGCTTGCCTAAAGCGAAGCTTTTCAAATTTCCTCGTCGAATTCACCCCGCGCCCGGGTTTTCTTCTTCACTACGTCGGTCAGATCAAATCGTCCGATCGCTCGAGGATACGCACGCAAGGGATCACTTCTGTGCCACGGGGCCACCACCGATCATCGCGAGAAGTGGAGTGGATCAACTGGGCGGAGGACAGCACACTCGATGAATGAACACCCTCGGGGATGTCCCGAGGAGATCTTTGGAAAAACCTGCTCCGCCTACGACGCCAAGCTCAGCCGCTGGTTTTTTTTGCGCGCACGTTGAAACGCGCCGCGACACATCCTCGAGGTCTGCGCGCCGCGATAGACGCCGAGGTACTGGTTCCCACCTACGGCACCGACAACACCTCGTGTGCCGGTGGCGATGTCAAAGCCACCGCGGTGGCACCGTTTGGCGCAGGAGAAATGCGACCCACGCCCGCCTGTTTGGCAACAGGACTACTCGCGAACTCCGACTCACACGCCGAGTAAATAGGATCGACGGAGGAGGCGGATGATCTAAAAAGCGAGACGGAAGCAGCCGAAGGAAGGAAAAGGGAAAGAGCGAAGGAAAGAGATAGGGAGAGATAGGAAGAAAAAGGAAGAAAGATAGGAACGAAGAGGGGAGATAGAGCGAGAAAGGGATGAGAGAAGAGAGCGTGCCAGGCGTGTGTTTCCGACGTGATACGTAAATGTCTGATACGACGACCGGGGGACGGAACAGGGCAGGTGGGGACGACCGAGAACAAGGTGAGGAGAGGGCGTCGCGGCGCACGGCGTCTGGTGATCGATCGATGACTAGTCGCGAGTTCGCGCGGGATTATCGCACGCCCAACATGGACGGTTGCCCTCCGCTCGTCTCGTATTTCTCGCTCGATCGTGTCTGCATCTAGGTATACGCTGGATATCGACTCCTTTCGTATCTCTTGAACTCTTCAAGACACTTGGGGGGGGGGGGGGAATGTGTCCGATTACAAATCGACAGGAAGTTGCCTCCCTTTTCGATACACGAAATACACCAATTCCTCTTTTTCGATATATGAAGATAATACGACGATATTGACACACCTCGTTCTTGTTTCTCCTCTTCTTTCCTTTTAATCTTCTTCCTGATTGCGCATCGCCGAACTATATTCGAATCGCAAAAATCCGTGCGATAACATTGGCATAATCATCGGTCCGTTTTCGACCGGCACAAATCAACAGTGAACGCTGTATTCTACTCGGCAAGATACAGGAGGTTTGATACTTCCGACACGTTGTATCATTGTCCTTCAATTCGCGCGAAGAAGACCCAAGAGGATCGGCAGAAAACTCGATCCAGCCGAATCACTTTGATCAATAATCGTCAAATAACCGTCCTTTTTCCGCGCGTGTAGACACACCGTGTTGATCGACATCAACAGATTTACGGAACTAATCTCATGACGCGCGTCCGCCATGCCGATTAAAACAGATCCTGTGTTGTGTACACGACGCGGGTGAACGATTCCGCGATTAGATAGTATACCAACGATGCTTATCGCCGCTCATTTCTTCGTCTTTACAGCTGCGCCGCGTGGATTATTCCACTGTATGTATCGCAGAGTAAATTCCAGACTGGCACATGCAAAACCTCTCTTTCTCGGTGAATTCCTCTACGAAACCTCTTGTCATCGCCCGGGAGAGCTTTTTTCAATAATTTCACGGATGCGTTCACGCAGAGATTCGAGAAGGTAAGGCCTCGCTTTTATCGTTATCACATAGCATTTAATTATCATGCACTTTGTATTTCGCGTATCGTGAAGCAAATAAAAGTTTCACGTTTTTTGGAATCTCTCCTTCATTTCACTAAACTAACTTCTGCCGCGTGCGTTTCCGAATCACAACCGGAACTTGAACTCGAATTATATCATTTAACAATCAAAGATATTATTTCGCATTGCAGAACAAATCGAACTCGAGGAACGATGCGATTGTTGAGCGAAAAAATCTCCGCGTCAACAAAAAGTGAAGGCAGCAACGATCAACGTGTCACTATCTATTTTAACAATTTCATTCGTTTATCTATAGAGATACAACTTGAAGACGACTCTTTCACGTTCGTTCAGAGTCGCACTCGGATTCGGAATCGGAGCGCGTACTTTTACTCCTCTGTCCCGTTACGCGTGCACACACACACACACACACACACACACACACACACACACACACACACACACACACACACACACACACACACACACCACGCGCGCGCGCGTGTGCGCAAACGTCAAATATACGCGTCTATCCGAACCGGAAATTCTACCCACGAAATTTCCGTTGTTTGTCTTTGCGCATTAACGCGACGGTCCTTCCAACTTTCGCGGTCACAGTTTATCAAGAGCGCCACGCCACCGCAGCTCGCGAACACGATCGTTTCCTCGCGGCGTGCACCACTGACGCAAGTGGCGGGCTTTACTCTCGCTCTATCCCGGAGGTTTCTCTTTTTTACTCGCGACGCGAGTGCCGTCCGTCCATCCCCTCCTCCGGAGTCCGCGGAGTCTACCTCCTCGCGTTCGCGCTCGCAGACCCGAAATTACCGCGTGCCGAAATAAATTACGTTCGCCGTCCGCGCGCGGGCATCACGCTTCCCTCTCACGTTATCACGAGAGCCGACGGGAGAACGAAACCGCGTTGACGTTCTTCCGCGTCGAAACCGCACGCTGGCCGCGCGCACTTCCTGCGAAAGAGAACCGCGCTCCGTCCGCTTCCGCCCGCGAAATCCTTTCGACCGCGACACGAAAATCCCACGACCGACCGCAACGTTTTCCGTTTTGCTTCTTTCGCACACGGAACCGCGAAGAAAAGCCAGCGTCGTGTGTCTCTCCTTACGTGAGACGCATCCGATCGCTTTTCTATCAGCGTCGTGGTTTCCCCAACGACGTGCGATGCGTTTCGTCTCGTTTCACTCGAGTCTACTTGAAGTTTGCCCGATCTCGCCTGATCTCGCCTGCCGCGAGCGATGTCCTTTCTTCCCATTGATGATCTTCCCTCCTTTTCCTCCTTCCTTTTTGGCGATAGCTTTAATTACGTCGCGACGCTCGCTGAACAGCAAATCGGGATAATCGCGTTGCGGACGCACGTCGGACGCGTCGCCAAGCGCGACGTCAAAGCAAAAGAGAGAGAAAAAGAGACACGTGGTGGGACCAGGTCAGACCATTGCCCCCCCCCCAAATACCGTCGAGGTGATCCGGCGCGCCTCGACCGCGCTTCCAGTTTCGGCACCGCCGAAAGGTTTTCCCTTCTCGTAGTCGTTATCCGCCACCTCCTCCTCCACGGTCGCCCCTGCGCATCCTCGTCGACGTTGGCTTGACGCGGAGGGATTTGTTTCGACGATCGTCAGAGCCACTGGCTGGCACCGCCGCGGGGCGACTCGCGCGACTCGTCGATATGAAGGCGCAACGTCGACGACGAGGACGACGACGACGACCGCGGCGGCGTCAGCGGGCATCAGGCATGCGTGTTGGAGAAGCTGCCGACTTTCACGCCTGCCTACCGCGTTGCCTACCGCGCTCCTCCTCCTTCTCAAGGACTTCCTTCGTCTGTCTCCGTCTTTTTCTCTGGAGCAACCAAGTGGCGCGAAGCCACGAGTTGATTTGCAGGGGATACCAGACTCTCTTGCCGATGGCCGCGCTAATGTAACGAGTCCAAGCTGATCAAACGCCGATCAAACGATAAGACTCTCGAGAAACGAGTCGTAAAGACATTTGCAAGATGCTCTTCATCATTTTTTCAGGTGTCTCGTGAACATTTTTTTTTTATCGGGACAGTGAAAGAATCTTCCTTACTTGATGCGGATGATTCTGGTTCAAGAAGAAAACTTATAATAAGAGACCCTCAGTTCTCTCTATGTGCTTCAGCTACTTTCGAAAATCTGTTTCCGATAGCCCAAGTAATCATCATTCAACAAAGTCTCGCGAACAAACATCTTTGCTGATTCGAATCTGATTTAAACTGTCGGATCTTCTTCCCCAGATCGCAAGCTCTCAATATTTTCTTTCCGATTTATTCAAGGAATCTTTAAAAGCAAGTTCTCACAGCGCAAACTCGTGACCGTCGTCATCGTAACATCGAGCTGTTCGAGAAAAATCTCTAGAACGAGAGCAAACTTCATCAAGTGAAGCACAAAAACGCTTGGATCAAAAAAGAAAAAAGAGCTCAATGTCCGCGAATTGCAACTTCTGCGCACACCTGCTCCAATTGTGCGGCTGCAACGCGCAGCGTTAACACTATGACATCGTGATTACGGTGCGCGTGTACCTGCTTCCTTCTATCCCCCCCCTTTTCCCCACCGGGCAAATATACCCCCACTCGCACACGTGTCGGCGTGTTACGTCAAACGTGTGGTCTGCGTTCCATATTCCCGCGACAGGTATTTATAAATCGACCGCGAACACGCTACCTCGATCAACGTCGAGGTGTAGATTTCCGACAGCGATCGCCGGAAGACGATAGAGCTCGATCTCGATTTCTTCGCGAAGAAGGAACAAATACAAACGACCATTGACGGGTGGACCAGTCGGTCTGACTGCGTCATGCGTGTAGCACGATTTAAAGTAAAATTAGAGAAACTTCGAAATTGAAATAGATATCTCGCGAGTAGCTTCACCTCTCGTAGACGAGATCAGTCGGTAGCGTATTTTCGGATCTACACGATCTAATTGTGATATAATGTCCGCCCAGGTACCAGTGCTTTATATTTACACTCGCGAGAAGAACTCGACTTCTCGTCGTGTCCCGCTTTCTTCTTAGCTTTCTACGTCCTTTTTACCGAACTTTCGTGAATAATGATAAAATGTTTTGACGTCAATGCTTCCTCCGTTATCGTTAACTTTGCCCGAGGAAACCACGGGTTTATCTCTCGACGCATGAAATCGGAAATGCGAGAGCACGCCAGCGAGAGCTTGTCAATCTCTGTGCGAACGATTCTTTTGGTTCATTGACGCTAATTATTCGACGCTATTATGTTGACTCTTGTAAAATTCAAAATATATTATAACACCACGGATGCTCTATTTGATGTTCATATTTGATGTGCAACATATGTATATGTATACATTGGTCACGCAACTTTAAAGTGTTCATATGCGATAATACTCGCATTTAGATTTCGCTTGAACAAATGCGCGATATACACGTAATACGAGTTGTAATCAGCACGCGCGAATTTCCAACCCGTAATGAAAGTCTGAGACACGAAAGGCCACAGTTTACGTGATAAAAAAAGTATCTACTAAATTGAACCCTAATCCTTCGTGATTATAATGCTAACGTATCTAAAGTTAAAATTATTTTCAATTTCACTGTCACCAAGGCTACTCCGAAATACACATCATCAGCAAAGAATGACTTTTATCGATAATCCTAAATCTGTTTTAACTTAAGTCATTAGCATGAAAGTCTTGCACGTGTAGACGCGTGGGTTTGAAAAGTCTTTCTACGCGATAACCGCACAAAGATATCGATTTAACGCTATACTATAACATCGTGGTATTATATTATTGCAGTCTCTTGTTTTATTCAGTACATTTACGTATAAATGATAATCAATACAAATATATATGCAATTTTATATCTTGTAAAAAACTTATGTATGTATGTATATATATATATATATATATATATATATATATATATATCTTATTATATCTATCTATCTTATTATATCACAATTGTATTTATGCAATTAATTGATACGCATAATAGAAGAATTATTCAACTTTTCATTTCTTTCTTGGAAATCTGCAAATCCTTCAAAATCCTTCTTGACCGATCAACTCTGCATGAAAGATTCTATTTCTTCGACCCTGAAATACAAAATTGCAAGTTAGTTCGTTCTAATAAACGATATTTGCAATAAATGCAGAATAAATGCTTACGTGCGAGGAACGTCAGTCATATTTTCTACTCCGGTTTCTGTTATAAGGACATCATCCTCGATCCTAACACCGCCAAAACCGCGAAATCTTTGTAATTGTTCCTGCACGAGGAATTTCGACTGGTTGGGATTGGTTAGAGCTGCATCGAGCAACTATATAATAATAAAAATTATTATCTGTGAATATTCTGAAAAACTGATTTTAAAGAGTTTTTACAAAAATTATTTTTTAATTATCTCTACACTTACGCAATCTATGAAATAACAGCCTGGTTCTACGGTAAGAAACATTCCGGCGAGCAATGTCCTTGCTGTTCTCAGCTTTCTCACTCCCGCGTCCTTCGAACGTTCAGGGTGACCAGGCAAATAGCCACCGACATCATGCACATCCAGTCCCAGCAAGTGACCCAATCCATGAGGTTGAAACACTTCATTCAGACCAGCTTTTATCATATCCTCGACATCACCGATCAGCAATCCACCTTCTTTCAATGATGTTAACATGACTCTGTTCGCCAAAAGATGCATATCTGTCCAGGCGACTCCTGGCTTCGCAGCTGCGATCACTGCGTCGCGTGCCTTCAGCACAGCGTTGTAGACCAGCTTTTGATCCTCAGTAAATTTCCCATTAGCTGGAAAACTGCACGTGATGTCAGCCGCATATCCGCAATAGTTGCCGCCCATGTCGAACAAACTGTCAAACAGTCAACAGAGAGAAGAATTATGCAAAGAAACTATTATACAAACATTGCACACACACACAAGTTATAACGAGGAAAAGATTAATACTATAATGAATTGAAATCTTACCACATATCTCCATCCTGTATGACTTTATTATTCGGTGCGCCAGCGTGACCATAATGCAATATAGAGGAATTATGTCCGGATCCGCAGATGCATGTGTAAGACACATGTCTGCACCCTCCCATGGCGTATACATAATGCAAGAACCGAGCCTCTGCCTTGTATTCTGGAATCCCAGGGCGCACAGAACGCATTACGGTCTTGTGCGCCTCCGAACTTATCTTGCACACGTACCTCAATACCTCAATTTCTTGAGGAGACTTTATCACCCGGCTGTACAAAAGTAAAAAGAAGAATTTACAAAAACTACGTTACTTTAAAAATAGCTATAAATTTCTTGCAGACATTTATTCCCTATTTAAGATACAATGTTTTACTATTTGCTAGAGGAATATGTATGTAGTTACAATGAGTTTCGTTGCAGTTTTATCTACAAATTTATGCATCTGTCTAAATACACGTTTCACATGGAATGACTTATAAAGCATCTTCGACGGCGTCTAGTCTTTGTGACAAATAAGATAACAATTTGTCGTCCTGATCTACGACTTCTGTCAGTTTCATATAATCTAGATATGCAACTCGGAAACCCAATTTTCTAATTTGCCGTTTTCTCATTATCTGCGGCCCTGTCAAGTGCTGCGAATTCCAGCAATAGTATTCGGGTAAATGGATTAGAATTGCGGTATTAATATTCTTCTTTTTATGTAGATTTAGATTAAAAACTGACGTTGATTTTAAGAGCGGATGTATCAGAATGTCTAAGATATAGAAATTTATGAGAGGCAGCCTGTTCAAAACCACGCTTCTGCTTAATTTATGCTCGCCACCTACCAAGTGCGCCAGTGGTTGATATATTTTATTAATAATACCTCTGATTCTCATATCTAAACACAAGGACTTTGTATTTCTGTCTAAGTTAATTGGGCTGCCACGATAATCTTTACACTCTAATGACATGGTCGCATCGAATAATTTTAATTTTGTTTTCAATCGATTGACGACAGGTGCGTCCCTTTGAGTTTGCAGCCTACTCATAAGATACGAACTGAAGACTTTATCCAAAAGCTTAATAGGATATCTTTCGAGATACGTGCAAGAGAGAAGAATATCTAGAGTTTCGTTCAGCTTCATATCTGAAAATCTCACGGACATCACCTCGTCGAACGTCTTCCAAAACTCAAACGGATCCGGTGGTTGTAGATTCAATAATCCAAACGGGGCGAGAATAGAAGACAATAACGTAGGCGGAATTTCCATTCCGTGTCTCATAAAATATCTTCCACATTCGGCGAAAACGTACGGATTTCTAACTTGTAAATCTTTACAGTAATTCATGATGGAGGCGATTAAATTAGGATCTTTCATCTCGATACCCTTAGCTGTTACGTATCTCGCCAATGCTTGTTCTATATTTTCATCAATATATTTCTTCGTGTGTAAACAGCCAATAAAATTGATGAGATCCTTCTGAGTGGAAGTGGTCATGCTCACACTTGCCCATTTACTGGCATTCCGTAGACATTCCTTTGCGGACTCCTTCCAGTAAAGACAGTTCAGTATGTTGGCCATCTGCGAGCCGGTCAACTTTAACCACTGCTCCGAGAGTTTCTTTTCCAAAATGATCTGTACCATGTCCTTACTTCGTCGAAAATATTTCAATGATCTGAATAACGGCACTAATAGATCTGGTTTAATATCCTGCTGCCTGCACGTCAAACCAACCCACAGCATGTCAATGCAATTTCTGTACTTGGACTGTTCGTAATTAGCTAGAATTTTCACTGCTCTAATTAATTGCGACATAGTAAACTCACCGTCTGTGATTCTAATCATAACTTCGTTGCACATTCTGTCTTTGTAAATATTCGTTGAAGGGCTAAATTTGTCTCTCTTTAATGCCTTTAGTCCTTGTAATATCATCTCATTATCTCGACTTTTGACAATCAAATTTACGAGCTGTCGCAAAATAACGTCTCTATTGATGGCCTCTGCAGATATTTGAAGATTTGATGAAGTTTTCCGATATCGATACCACCCACTTTCCAACTCTATCATCTTTTTCAAACTTTGGAGCGCTATCCGGGAGTTTATCTCGTCTGTCATCTTGTTCTCCAACAAAGAATACATTCTTTTATCCATATTTCCCGAATTAATCGCATCCAAAATCTGCTCCATGTCCGTATTTTTTAAACGCTCGATGTCAGAGAAGAAAAGTATCGCCGTCCCTTCATCGGTCTCTATACTAATACTATGTTTTAGAGGCTCATTCTTAATCACGCTCGTGTCGATAGAATATGGGATACTTTTCTTATGGATTATCGCAGGTTTTTTATTTTTATTCGATTCAACAGTTCTTCCGCTTTGTTTGTCGAGAAGACATTCGATGTTAGTAATCTTCTTGACTATTAAGGGAACTTCTTGTATACGCGTGCCTTCTTGTACGAAAATATTCGTCTGAGTCAACTGTGTCCCATCGTAATCAAGCACACTTGATTCGAAACATCTCTTTTTAAATTTGGACACCAAATTGAATGGTTGCGCGAATATTCTCGTAGAAAGATTTCCCCAGCGTATATGGCTCGAGACTCTCATCTATAATAACAATTATAAATTCAATAATATGTTGCACTAATAACCTTCCCATTTTTACCTTTCTCTGTTATATCTCAAATCACGCATATTTAATACTTGATATTCAATAATTTTCTTAAAAACAAAAATGTCCAAAGATTCTTCTTTATTCTTCGAGCCATGAACGATTGTAATGTCACAGAGAAGTAATTGATTTAATTATTTTTTATTTTTGATTTTTTTGTTACGCGTGTCAAATTAAAATTAAGTTAATAATAAAATTTAAAAAATAGTTGCATGTCATAACCCAATAGAAAGCTGTCAAAGTTGTATACCGATGTAGCGACGTTTATAATTCCACGAACCGACCAGCCGATGGCGACACTGATTCTTCTTTTAGACAATCAATGTGCAATCAGTATAAATAACAAAAAATCAAGCTTATAAAACTTCATTCTTTTAATTCGACATAATTTTTATCTCGTTATGTTAATTGTGTTTTATCATTCAAGTATCTATACATACACCAGATTTGCTACACGCTATTATCTTATTTTTCGAGAGTCGTATTTAGCAGAGAACAGATTGCAAAATTTATTATCGTCGCAAAATAAAATCGATACACTTACCACTCGCATATTTCTGGATACAGGATGCTATTATCCACCTGAAATCTATAAGAAAATTCGTAATTAAATTATTCTTGTCCGGCCATGTCGTTCTAATTTTAACGTGATTCATCGTCATACTCACTCGGCGATACCGTCGAAAGTCGCTTCGTGCGCCAACAATCCGCTATCGCTGTTTCTGCCGTTCTGCAAAGCGCAAAGGAGAGAAAAGGAAACGATCATATTGTAATCGGTGGTATGGTTTGAGCGCGCGTTTTCACGAGCGGGTCAGAGTAAAAGCAAGCCTTACGTAATTCAGATTCAAGTCAGAATAGAGAAAGCAGTCCTCATCCGGTCGGAAGCGAAACAAAGCCGTTTCTGTGCCATCGATTTCTACGTCCGCGTGAAGGCTACATGCGTGATAACGTTACGTATTTCAATGAATGATAACGTCCACATAAATTCTTAATGCGTTACGCATTAATTAACCGATTAATCCGTATGTTAAATTATACGCCGCGACACCCGATATGCGATATTCGGATCTGAAATATCAGCTTTATTGCAATAATAAATTTGGAATTCTAAATCCTGTTTAAATATTAAATGGGATATGAGAGGTTTCTCGTACAGATTGCATGTGCATGTGCTATGACAGTAGTTTTTACATACACCGCGTTTTGCGCATAATAGTTCCTTGCGTAAACGCGATCGCAAAGTTAATTTTTACACGATACATGTCAAATTGTGCACCTGCATAATGACGCTAGTTAGCGAGCACTTTTTGCGCACGCTTGCGATATTGGAGAGCATTAATCGTTTTTCGCTGAGAAATAAAAATGTTTGGTTTCGGCTAAATAGTGAGTACCGCGCCGCAAATGTGCCTGTCAGCATTTGTTGTATCGGATATTGCAAAAGGCCATGCAACGTGTCGCATAAAAATATGCGGTAGCAATGCCGTATTTGCAATGTAATCATAATTAGACTTGCGGACGGGATCGCCACATATAGCCGGTCTATAAAAGTAGTATGGGAGACAAGTGTTTATCAATACCGAGAACTAGTATATAACGCTGCTGTGACAGTAGAGTATTTATTTTACCAGCGACAGACTGATCGTACACGTAATTATACGTGTAACATTACAGCTCTCTCGATACCGCGATGACTCGTCAATCACCGCGAAAATAAAATTTATCTTACTTATTTATGAGCGCGATTTAAATTTATTTATGTTAATTCAAAGCGGTTTCTAAACTTTCGCAGAGTCTATATCTGCAAGTTCTAAATGTTATTCTTTTTTTTTCTTCTTTTTTTTTTTCTTTGCATAATACATTTTACAAAGGTCAGATACGACAACTCCCGTCGTCTGTCTCTATAATTAGATATTTTATTCTGTGGTACACGCGTGTGCAACTGCCTCCCTACACCTATATATATATATATATACCTCGGATATACCTCGGTGTCGCGTGTACGCGCGTGTGATATTGCTAGGCATGAAAGGTTGCATTGTGACTCGCCCGTCGTCGATTATACCCGTGCCTATTTCTGCCAGGCGCTTGAACGAACCTCGAACGAACTTTAATCTCGCGCCCGATGGGGATCATGATGTAACGTCCTGTGATCCCTTCCCAAACTTGTCTCATTTGCCATGCGGATATCATGTATCTCGCCAGTCTATCGGCAATCATAAATGTCTAACCGATATCGATCGAACGGTAGCATGCCTGGCGACAAGACCGTAACCAGAGGAAAAGGAATTTTTAACTTTTCGAACATATGCTACACGGAAAAAAAGTTTTGCTGATAAATCTAAAAATTTGGCCAGATATAGATTTTTTTAGAAAATAATTTCATTGGACCGTCAAGATTATTACATAAGATGTTTAAAAATGACAATAATGTGCAAAAATGTGTTTGAGCTTCTAGCAATCAATTTGAATGTCGTACGTAATAATTTTAAAGGCCCAAGAAAAATATTTTCTAAAAATCTATATCTGGCCAAATTTTTAGATTTTTTTTAACAAAATTATCTTTTCCGTGTATAAATCGTGTACGTGGTGCGTCTGCAATATCAAACTTAAATTTAAAGAATTCTTACAATTTTGATAATGTTTTTACGATAGGTTGATATTATGTGAATTTAAAAATTAAGAATTTTGAAACAAGATTTTGTCATGATCCTTGTGCGATGACGCACATATATTTACATGTACACGATAAACACACCGGTTTGATGATATATTCCAACCGGTATGAATCATTTTGTTTCCATTCGTGTTTATCAACCATTAAATTAGCTTTGTCATGCATGAATATCGTATTGTCGGGTGATAATCGGCTTGGCAAGCATTGTTTGCAAACAATATTCAACAATATAATTAACGATTAAAGTCCAAGCGAGTAATTTCATATTAACGATTTAACAACGGAATAAACAAAAATTAGTTATCACATGTTTTCATCTTATCGCGCGTATATGAAACAAATATGTTGATCGCGCACACAAAATTTATACTTGAAACGGAAATATTAAAATTATGGATAATTATCTCAATCGTGTCGTAACTAGAAACACTTGATATCACGTATCTTAGATTGTATAACAGTTACGTTAATCTTTAAAAATAAACCAAATCGAAGACTAAACGCCAAGCTGTGAAATAAAAAAAAAAGGTTCTCGGTTACATGAAACATTGCGTAAGGATTATATTTAACAAAACGCCGATCGGCTTGCAATTTTCAGTTTTTGAAACATCAAAGATTAAAATTTTAACGTTGGATGAATTATCTCGAAGAAATTACAACTTACTCTCACACTACGGTGAGATAAGTAATGATAAGTGCGATGTAAAGAAATGTAAAACGGATTTACTACAATTTTGCCTATCCATAAACTTGAGCCATATAACGTTAACGTTAAATAACGTCGCAACGTGAAATCTTGAAATGTCTCGTGAGAAAGAGTTCCGTAATGCCGATCTCGATCTTACACACGTTGGACGCTTCGTTCTCACACGTTTTAAAATAATGCAAGACGCTCGCGATCGCTTACGACAAACACCGAGCCTTGTTCCATCTCTTATTCATGTGTCCGTCATTCCGCGCGTTTCAGCAAAACAACACTTTCCACGAAGACATTAAATATTAGTTTTTCCTACCGAGTTTCGCGATGATTCGATTTATTGAACGGTACTGAAAATAGGGAGAAGATTCAAGGCTGGAGTCTATATAGCAGACCCGCTAGAAACTACTCGATATCTCTGTGCCAATACACAAACCCTAGCCTAGATGACTAGACGAATCCGAGTAAACAGTAAAAATAACAAAATTCGGATCCTCACGTCAAAGATAGCCTCGCCTCGAAATAAAATATCTCGATATTAAATATTGCGATTTATTCTCATCGGCGGCGATTGATAGACAACCACTGTTCTCCGTGTTTCGCGCGTTTCGCAGAGTTTTAAGAATTTCTACAAATGTGAATAGGATAGCCGAATCGATTTTCGATATAGACGGCGGTTTAAATGCCCCGTCTCTCTCTCTCTC